GTGTCCCTCTCCCCATATGGCAGGCACTGGCTGCTCTGAGCCATCCCCCCCGCTGGGGGGGCTCTCAGACACCCAAGCCCTGAATTAACACCTGTCAAGTTTCAGATGGCACTGGAATGGCGTTCGGCTAAAACTCCTAGAAATAAATGCTCGAAGACCACCCGGGAATAACCATCTGTATTCCCCAGGAGAAACAGACCAAGGGGACAAGGACAGGAGAAGGTCAAGCCAGCATGCTCCTACAAGATAACATCTCAGGTCTCCGGTATATGAGGAAGGCTGTCTTGGGCTTCGTACAGAATAAAGCAATTCTCTAAAAACACCAGAATGCAGGCAGGCATCGGTGACTGAAACCCTGTGTGAGAGAGACAGAGAGCTGGACATGAGAGAAAGAGCCAGAGTGAAGCAGAGACAAAGAAAGAGGGAGATTCAGTCCGTCGAGACCTTTCTCTGAATAAAATGGAATGGGGGCGGGGTATCAGCGTGTGTGAGGGGGCAGCTATCATCACTCTTCCTGTCTTCATCATCATTATCACCATCATCACCATCACCATCAGCACCTTCATCAACATCACCAGCATCACCATCCTCATCCTCACCATCACCATTATCACCATCATCGGGACCATAACCATCACCACCACCATAATTTTCTCTCCAGTAATGGCATGGGAAAAGCCCTTGGCCAGCCCTTTCTCGCCAACCTGGCACAAAATATTGGAAGGAGACAAGCAGAGTACACACCACCCCTCCTTCCTCCCACCCATCTCCTGCCCCCCCCCCAAGAGATGCCTGGTGTGGGGACCACAAGTGGCAAAGTCTAGCCGGGCTCCACGGGGCAGATTCCTGGGGACCTTGGTTTTAGCTCCAGCTATGACTGCCTGGGTGGTGACATCAAAGTGACCAGGTCCCCTTGGAGGGCCTCTCCCTCCCCAGGGATCAGTGTGACCTGTGAGTTCCTGAGGCACTCAACAAAGGCAGTGCCCGTAAGCTGTCAAGTGCGTGGCGAGGCGTGGGGAGATCCTTAAGCCCTGGCTGGTGTAGCTCAGTGGATTGAGCACAGGTCTGCGAACCAAAGGATAGTGGTTCAGTTCCCAGTCAGGGCACATGCCTGGGTTGCAGGCCCATTCCCAGCAGGGGACACAGGAGAAGCAACCCTACATTGATATTTCTCTCCCTCCAAACAAAATGTTTAAAAAATCCTTAAGTGCATGGAGCAATCCTTTGGAGCGATCCTTAGGAAGACACAAAGTCTGGGTTCTTCTTCTGGTGGGAGAGGTCTTAACGCCCCTCTGAAGCGGGAGTCCTCATCAGGGTATGCAGGGGCATTCTGGAGCGGTCTGTACACTCAGAGGAAAGTTGGTGTTTAGAAGCTGTGTCCTTATACGTTGTTTTTTTCTTCATAAGCAGGACAGGCTTTTACCCCAAAGGAGGCGTCCTTTACAGGCGAAAGCGCGCTAACACAGGGAATGGAGGATTTATTTGTTGCCATTATTTGTAAAAACCTGTGCAAGTACTAGTGACCTTTGCCCGGACGTGAGGGCGGTACGGTGACGTAACAGCACAAGCGGCCTTCCAGGGACGAGGATGAGCGGTACCTGAGCGCCAGCGAGTGGGCCGCAGGTGGGAGCCCAGGCGCGCCCGGGGCCCACCCGCTGAGCTGCAGTCCCCACTGCGGCCGCCAGGGGCAGCACCGCGCCCGCCCGGCCCGCGCCTCCCGCCTCCGCCCCCCCAATCTCCGCCCCCCACCCCCTTCCTCCCCCCCGCCGCGCTCCCCAGAGCCCCGCCAGACCCCGCTCCGCCCGCGCCCCGCTCCATCACCGAGGCTCCCGCAGCCCCGGCGTCGGCCCCGCGCGCCCTCCCCCGGGGCCATGGGGGAGCCCCCGGGCTACCGACCCTCGGCCTGGGTGCATCTGCTCCATCAGCTGCCCCGCGCCGACTTCCAGCTCCGTCCGGTGCCCAGCGGCTTCGCGCCCCAGGAGCAGGAGTACCAGCAGGTGGGCGCGGGCGCGGGGGCTGGGGGCCAGCGGTTCTGGGCCCCGCGAGAGGAGGGCGCCGGGTGGCAGACCCCTGCGTTCTCTGGGGGTGAGGGCCGGGCCCCGACTTTGGGGTGTCCGAGGGAGGCGGCGCGCGGGGCTCCCGCTCCTAGAGGTTCCCCTGGGACGGGCGCTGCGGGGACCAGACCCCTCGCTGCTTCGATAAGAGAGGGCTAGTGGCCTGGACCCCTGAGTCTCCGAGGAGCGGGGAGAATGGGGGTCCTTGCATCCCAGGGTCTCTGAGAACTGCCCGGAGGGCCAGGACCCAGGGTCACCAGGGGGGCTGGGCGTCCTAAAAGATGACCCTTCCCTCATAGGATGGACAGTCCATTGAAGGTGGGGCGCCAGGAAGAGGAGCTGATCAGGGGTGGGGAGGAGAAAGGCTGGAGGTGCCCCGGTTCTGGTTCTGGGACAGTGCTGAGACCTGCACCGGGGAAGGGGGTGAGGGGCTTCGGGCCAGGGCTGGGAACGTGAGGTGGAGGTGGTGGAAGAGGGGGCTTAGAGCCGGTCTCAGGACAGAAGGGGCGGCCAGAGCGCTGGAGGGGCCGGGGTGCAGAGGTGCGGGGTGAGGTTCGGCTTGGGGAGCCGAGGACAGACACGGTCCCGAGGGTGGGGTGGGGTGGGGTGGGAAGCTTAAGGAGCCCGGGGTCTCTGGGGAAGGGGGCCCAGCCTGGCTCAGCTGCACGAGGGGCCAAAGAACTGTCCTCTGACCCAGTTAAATTGAAGTCCTTGACTTTGAGCTTAATGAGCAAAGCTAGGTTGAGCCGTGGATGGGGTGGGGGGACTGGGTGTCCTGGTGGGGCCCGGGATGGGTCCGTGGCTCTGCCTGCGGGGTGTAGACCCCTCGGATCTGTCCTGGGGAGCCCCTGCGACCAGGGCTGGGAACTGGAGAGCTTAGCACGGTGGTGGGGGGGGGGGTCCCCAGAAACGCGGAGAGGGGGATGTGTGATGTATTCTGAGCTATTTGGGTCACGGCCGTGCCAGGCTGAGCTGCTCCTCCCTGCCCCCCGCACGCGCCCTCTCCCCACCAGAGGGGACCACGGCCCCGGTCCCACAGCCGCTGTTACACAATCGCCACCTCCAGCACCGGCCGATGCCTGCTCGCGGCCAAGGAGACCGTCCCACGCCGGTGCCCACACAGCCACTCACGTCCCAGACCCCGTGACCGCCTGAGGCACTCGGGCAGGCTAATGCACCCCCTCCCCTGGCAAGTACAGCCCTGGTGACAGCATTGTGAGCAGAGGGCCCAGAGTCACACACCCCAGGAGGGGACATTGCCCTCCGGGAGGTCACCGCAGGGGGCACAGCTGGGAAAGGATCAGGACTCTGGTGACCCTGAGCTGGGGACACAAACACACACACTCATATACACACTGATAGTCACACTCACGCTCACTCATGTGCACACACACTCCTACATGCACACACAGGTTCACATGTATACACCCTCCCACTCACATACACATGTGGACATGTGCACACATAGTCTCACACACGTTCACACACACTCACACACGCGTACACATATTTACATATAAACACATATACACTCACACACATATTCACATATACACACCCTCTTGCACTCACACACACATTTGCACACTAATGCTCCCATTGATACATGGCGCCCACCCGGGCTCACACACTTCTCTCTCTCTCTCTCTCTCTCTCTCTCACACACACCACCTGAGACCGGAGGAATAGTGCCAGAAACACACAGATGCCCCCATGTCACTCACACTTGCAGATACAGGTGTGCTAGAGACACACTTTTACTCACACGTGCACACACACACACACTTGGGCATATTATCCCATGACTGACAAGCTCCGTCAGAGATAGCACATCTGTAACACAAACGCAAGCACTCCACACACTGGTCACACACTCACACACTCCACCGTGAGCACAAAGGCAGCAATACGGCATGAGTGAGTCCAGAAGTCTGACTCTGCCCCTGACGTTGTCGGTACCATGCTGTGTGGCTCCAGGGGAATCCCTGCCCCACTCTGGGCATCTATGGAGACCACGAGACCGTCATGCCTCCCCTGCAAAATCCCGCCTCGTGGAGAAGCCCCGCCCTCGGCTTCCAACCACAGACACTCTTTCCCTCGCTGCCTCTGCCCTCCCACCCTGGGGGTCTCTGTCTGTGCCCCCTGGCGCCCCATGTCTGAGCCTCTACTTCCCCATCTCCCTCTGAGCCTGCCGCCCTCCCGCCCCCGGCTCTGTCTTCTCTCTCTCAGTCCCCCAGTCTCCATCTCTGAGTCTTACACATACACACTCTCTCTCTCTCTCTGTGATGCTCACACCCCCTCCCCATGAGTCCCTGGGTGACAGACTCACACCGTGGTGGGTGTGCAGAGCTCAGCAGCAGGGGACAGAGAATGAGCAGTGAGGGGACGGGCCAGCAGAGAGGAGGGAAGCAGCCCGCCACCCCCAGCTTCACACACATCTCTAGGGAGAGGAGCCCCCGCCCACCCCCCTGGATCCCGCTGTTCTGGGTTTCAGTCCTGAGAGATGCTCCGTCCAACTACCTGGTTGAGGAGAAACCTGAGGCTCAGAGAGGGGCGGGACCCTGCTGAACATCACACAGCCATGGGTGGGCCAAGTAGAACTAGAACCCAAGACTTGGGCCTCCCCTTGACCCAGTTCCAAGTCACAGAGTCCCAGCCTCCAGCCTGAGGGGCGGGGGACCCCATCTCTCCCCACAAACCTGAATAGCACAAGGTGGGCTTGGCCCCCAGCCTGGCAAGGGATGTCTCCCTTCTCCGCTGAGACCCTCCAGCTGAACTGGGATGGAGCCCGAGCCCCTCTGAGGCCCCATGTCGTCCCTCCCCCAGGCCCTGTTGCTGGTGGCGGCCTTGGCCGGCCTGGGCCTGGGCCTCAGCCTCATTCTCATTGCTGCCTACCTCATCCGCGTCTGCTGCTGCCGGCCCCCCGAGCCCCCCGGCGCCAAGAGCCCCCCACCCGGGGGAGGCTGCATCACCTGGAGCTGCATCGCTGCTCTTCTCGTCGGCTGGTAATGGGGCCCCAGGGTGGGTGGGGGGAGTGGGGACAGGCTTCCTGTGGTGCCCTAGAATCCCACTTCAGCCGCGAGCAGAGTTGTGCCCATTTGATGGATGGAGAAACTGAGGCTCAAGAAACTCGACTTTCCCAGGGCAGCTGGCCCGGCAGGACAGGGTTGGGGTGAAGAGCTGGGCGATGAGACTGCCTCAGTTGGGTAGCTCTGCCACCAAATGTCTGTGCCACCGGAGGGGGTGATATAGTGCCCCCCCCCTCAGTTTCCACATCTCTAGAATGGGTATTACGGTCACAGTGTTAAGGTTTTTTTAGTGTTAAGGTTGAATGAGAGATGGTACAGGGCCCAGCTCACGTCTGTACTCCCAGCAAATTCATGAATTCATTCATTCAACAACTACTCCTTGCGTACCTACTATGCGCCAGGGAATAGTGACCAAGCCTGGCTGGTCACGGCCCTCAGGGCGCGGAGGTTCTGGTCTGGGAGACAGACAGTAACTCTGGTCTCGCTCACCCGCAGTAACCCTGCTGGACTCGGGGACGTCACGCCCAGTTTTGAAAAAGGAAAGTTCAGGGAAACCGACAAGGCCACGTGGCCCAAGCCGCGGAGTGGAACCCGCTGGGAGCTTCTGGGACACCCCCGGGGGCGGAGGAGAGGAGGGTTTGGCACCCCAAAATCAAGGGCCAGCTCGGAGCACAGCCCCGCGGGCAGCCCCCCACCCCCCACCCACGCGCGCACAGTAGGGCAGGGCAGCCGTCCTGTTCCACGGATCAGGGCCCCGAGAGACCTGCCGGGCCCCGGGGAGTGCACTGCCCGGAAGGCGGTACTCCCACCCATTCCCTGACCACTCCATCACCTCCTGGCGCAGTGTCTGTGTTTGGGGGTGTTGGCGAAGGAGGCGGCCAGGCGGCCTGCGTCCAAGACGCTTCCTCTCGAGCCCCCCCCCCCCGCCCGCTGAGTGGGGGTGGACGGGGCAGGCGGACAAAGGCCCGGTGGGGGAGAGACACGGCCGGCCCCCGCGGCCTGGGAACAAGAGCGACTTTGTGGGCCTGCGGACAATGGGCGGGGGTGCGGGCGGGCGTTGGGTCCCAGGGCTGGGGGTGGGAGCCTGCGCTGCGGCTGGGAACTGGGAGGGCGTCCCGCTCCCTCCTCCTCTGTCTGGCCCTGGCCCCTCCGCGGAGGGACACGCTGGAGTGGGGGGTGGGGGCCATTCAGGCCCCACAATGGAGCTCTGTGTGCTGGCCGCGGAGGGGCGGGGGTGCCCACAATCCCTTGCTTGGCTCCCAGCTGGCCAGAAGCTTGGGTCCCGCGGGTGAGGGGTGCGGGGGGGTTGGCTGGGGACTCCAAGCTCAGGTCCCCCAGAAGATGATGGCTGGGGGCCTGAACTCCTGGGAAACCCCAGGATGTGGGGGAGAGGACGGATGGACTCCGGAGGGGCAGGTCCTGGGGACCCTGGATGCTTGGGAAAGGGTCAGGGAGACGGTCGTGGAGCCAGCGGTCGTGGGTGAGGGGAAGACCAGCCATCCTGGGCCTGGGCAGGACGGGGGTTCCGCTCCAGTGAGGCGCGAGTTAAATCTGGGGTACCCTCCCCTCGCCACTCCACCTACCATTAGCATCACAATGACGTCCCGCGGCCCGGGGGAGTGAGGCCTTCCCGTTACCGTGGCAACCGGTGGGGGCCAGCCTGGAGACGTTCTTTTCCCACGATGGGCTCGCCCAAGTGGGTGGGGGCGGGAGGCGGGAATGGGCGTGTGTGGGGGGTGGGGGGATGGCGGCCCCCGGCGTCCCAGGACCCGCTGTGATTCCCGGTCCCTCTTTCTCACAGCGCGGGCATTGGCATCGGTTTCTATGGCAACAGCGAGACCAGTGACGGGGTGGCCCAGCTCAGCTCCGCCCTGGTGCACGCCAACCACACGCTCACCGCCATCGACCACCTGGTGAGGGGCCAGATCCCACCCCTTCACCCCTACACTGGTTCCCCACACGGTGGGGCCAAGGGGCCCCCATTCCCGGGAAAGGGAATCCAAGCCCCGGAGCCAAGACTTGAGACCTAAAATTTAGGACCCTAGGCTCAGGATTTCAGATTTAGACTGAACCACCACCACCAACCCCCAACTCTAAATGCAGATCCAAGCCTCCCACGTGACTCTCTCCAAACCAGATCTGGGACTTGGGGCCGGAACCAGGCAGGGAGCAAACCAGGGAGGGGCTGACCCCTGCCCCTGCCCCCAGACCCGATGCTCGGCCCCAATGCAAACTGGGGCACCTCAGTGTTGAGACCCAGGGTCCGAACCAGAGAGGCCTCACCCCCATCCCCAGCTTGAACTCAGACCTCAGAATTCATGTCCTGGGCAGACCCTGGACCATGCAACACAGACAAGAAGACCTCAGACTGGGAAAGGCAGTTATGAACAATCAGACCCAGGGCCCCAGACTGAATGAATCCTCCTTCTGGGGTCCTGAATCTCCAGCTGGGGTTGGTTCAAGCCACTGACCACCCGGGGTTTTTGACGGACCAGAGAGCCCCCTCTGTCCCTGCCTCGGCCACAGATGCCCAAGCCCCAGATCTCAGGCACCGGCCATTGCTCCTTCCGCACCCCGCCCAGGGGGGGCCCCCTGAGAACGCCCTCCCCTGACCCCAGACCCACCCCTGCGCCCAGGTGCTGGAGATGGTGGAGAGGCTGGAGGAGGCCGTGACCACAGAGCTGACCACTCTGGAGGAGGTGCTCACGCAGCGCACGGAGCTGGTGGCTGCCACCCGAGGGGCTCGGCGGCAGGCGGAGGCCGTGGCCCAGCAGCTCCAGGGGCTGGCCTTCTGGCAGGGGGTGCCCCTGAGCCCCCTGCAGGTGGCCGAAGATGTGTCCTTTGTGGAGGAATACAGGTGGGCCACCAGTCTTCTTGCTCTGTGGCAGGGGTTCTCAGCCTCGGGGGCTGTGCCCCAGTGGGCATTGGGCGATGTCTGAGTTGAGACACAAATGGTCATCACAAGTGGGCATCCGGTGGGCGGAGGTCAGGGATGCTGCTTAACACCCTAACTGTCCACCAGTTCTGTGGACAGTCCTCAGAGCCAGGAGGGTGTGCTCTATCAGCAGTGACCAGGCTGAGAAACCCTGCTGTCCAGAGCTGGACCCCGTGATGCCCACCCTCACGCCAGCTGCTCATCCATTACGCGGTCCCTCCACTCCTGTCTTCCTCCCTTCCTTCATTCCTTGACTTGATTCATTCATTCACTCTTGTACTTCCTCATTTCCGGACTAGCCTGTTAAGGAGTTCGTTCTCTCCACCGTTCATTGGACTCCTGTGTCCACTCAACAAAGTCTTATTTAGCACCTTCTGGTGAGAGAGACGGCAGCCCACGTGCTCACAGGCCTGCGCTCTGCAGCCAGATGGCCGGTCTCTAACCACACGACCTTAACCCAGTCCTCTCCAGCTCCGTGCCTCCGTGTGCCCATCTGTGAAATGGGAATAAAGGATAGCGCCCCTCCCCCCCTTATTAGGTTGTTGGGGATCCAACGAGTTGGCATCCGTCGAGTGATTAGCATGATTCACACACGGGTTTGTAAAACGTAGACTAAGTTTGTAAGACGTAGTCTAAGCTTGTAAAACTTAGACTATGTAGTCATTACATAGACTAAGGAACAAAGCAGAGGGACTCCTGCCGGGAGTAACGAATGAAGCCGAGAGGGATTTCTGCCTTCTTCCAGAGCGGGGACCAGTAATGGAGTGTCCCAAGGGGGCGGGTGGAAAGAGCTCTGGAGAACATTAAACAAGAGAGGAGGTGCACTGTGAACAGAAGCTGACCGCTTGAATGGGGAGTCCTGGAAGGTCACCCTAAGAGGGTGCCATTTGAAAGAGGGGACGGAACAAGTTAGGCAGACTCCTGGGACAGCCACCCTTCCCAGCGCCACCGTTAACGAGGAAGTCCTCGTGAACTTCGTCTACTAAGAGTTATTTCTCACATTCATCCAAAAAGACACCCTCTGAGAGCCTGGCCCGGGTGAGGGGGCAGAGATGGGAGACCTGAGGTAGACGGGGCTGAAGCAGGCCCCAGCGGGACGCCTCACAGGGTACCAGACATACCTGAGTTGCAGGGAGTTCAGGTTCTGTGTGGTGGACAAGCCCAGGGACCACACAGACCGGCCTCAGCCCCTCCCAGGTGGGCCGGGGTGGACCTGCAGACCACGCCACGGTGAGGCGGACCCACCAGCAACAGGAAAAAAACCCCTGGAGTATCTGGCTCCTTCCAGTCCCTCAAACAATGGGGCAAGCTTCCTGGAAGGAAGTTGGCCTGGAGGGAGGGAGACCTTTGCTGGAGGCTTAACAGCAGGTGTTGGCGGCCAGATGCTTAGAGCAGGATTGGCTCTATGTTTTACTCATGCCCGAAGCTGGTGGCATGAGCTGGCAGTGGGGCCCTGCAGAGCAAAGGCCTGGAGGCCACCGGGGGCCACTCGGGGACCCAGCCCCTGCACAGCAGCACGGGGCCACTAGAATACGCTACGTATTGAGCACTCACTACCTGTCCAGCCTGTGCCACGGCCTCGCGTACGTGCTCCTCTCCAGAGTGAATTGTTATTCGCTGGTACGGAATCACTGATTAACACTCAAAGTTCCCTTATTCACGTTCAAGCTGGGATTTAAGTGTGTCCGCGTGCCTGTGCCCTCGCTCATCAGGCTCACGGCAGCCTTTGGAAGCAGGTGCTGCCGTTCAGCACCCCTGTTACAGGTGGGGAAACTGAGGCACGAGAGGCCGACTTACTGAGACTGAGATACACACAGCTAAGGAGCAGAGACCCGGGCAGCCTGCCTGTGGATACGCCACACCCTTAGGTTGTACGACATGATGCTGGGTGCTCCCCTCTGCAGGGGGGGGCCGGGGGGCTGGGCTCTGAGGCCAGATCACACGTGCAAGGTCACAGGTCACAGAGCTTGTGCGTGGTCCAGTCGATATGGCCCCAGGTGCTCTGACCCTGGGAGCTGTGCTTTTTATAGAAGGCGAGGGTGGCCCATGTCCTAGTGCACCCATTTCACAGATGAGCTGGGCTGTGGCCTGAGGTCAGACCTGGTGACAGGCAGGGATTGGTGTCCAGGCGGACTCTGGGGCCTGAGTTGCACGCCTCTGTGTCCCCCCACCCCCCTCCCCAGGTGGCTGGCCTATGTTCTCCTGCTGCTCCTGGAGCTGCTGGTCTGCCTCTTCACCCTCCTGGGCCTGGCGAAGCAGAGCAAGTGGCTGGTGATCATGTAAGACTGGGCGCCCTCAGCAGGCTCATGCCACAGCACAGGGGCCCGAGTCCCACCCTGAGACATTCTCTAGAGAGGGACCACAGGCCTCCCGAGTTCCCACAGGGTCATTCCTCTGTCCCACGGACCCCCATGCCCTCCACGGAGCCCCCAGGCTGGGCCTCCTTGAAGTGGGAAGTGTGGGAAATCCTAGCTTGCCTATGGAATGATGCTGGTGCTGAGGATGGCCACGCATGCCGACTCCTTCAGCGGTCACCGCAACCTGCAAAGGTGTCTGCCGGGAGCCAGTCAGGCAGATGAGGGACCAGAGGCAGGAGGTGACCACGTCGGAGGCTGCTTGGCCATGACGTGGCATTGGGGCTCATTCTACATGCCCCACGCTCTTCTGGAACCCTCACACCGATCCCACTGGGAGGCACTTTCCTTCCATTTAACAGAGCGGAAGATTGGGGCGCAGGGTGGTTGGGCGGCTTGCCCAGGGCTGCCCAGCCAGGAGGTGCTGGAGCCCGAGTCGACTCAGGCCAGCCTGTCCCATTTAGAGGAGCCCTGGCCTCCTCACTGTCCCTGGGGCAGTGGTGGTTGGGGGGAATGTGTTGGCACTGGTGCTGCCCATTATCATCCCCACACTCCCCCCAGGATGAGAGGTCCTGCCCTCCCACCCATTACCCCCCCCCCTGCCCCCTGGAGGCTTGGAGATGGCGAAACTTGGCCCTGGCTGGTCTGAGCCATGATCAGGCCCAGGGGCTTTGGATTGGGCCACCCACTAACCAGCTGCCTTTCTGTCTCGCTGCCCACCCTCCAGTCCTAGCCCCACAAACCCCGTCCCCAGGGAAAAACCAGGAGGCGATTTTAACCCTGGAGCTGTCCCCCCACCCCTGGGAGGAGGAGTCTGGGCGAGCAGGGGGCTTAACCAAGAGAGAACCGGAGAGTGTGCTTGGCAAAAACAGGGTCCTGAGAAATTCAAATGTGGGGTAGGGGGCCCAGCGCTGGGCAGGAGCCCCCACAGAGTCCCAGAGGAGATGAGGCAGAGCTGGACTGAATCCTGCCAGCCAAAGGGCCCTTCTCACGGACCCCCCTGCCCCCCCTCCACCTGGGGCAGGGACCAGATGTTCAATTTGATGTCAACAACCCCAGGTCCATGCCCTGCTCCAACGTCTCTGCCCCTAATTCTGACCCTCTAGGTTCCAGAGGTTGGGGGTAGAGCTGTGATGGGACCTGGGGTGGGGGAAGGGAAGAGGCAAGGTGGAGAGATTCAGGAACCTCAAGTTCAGTCCCTCCCCGCACAGGATGACTGTGATGAGCCTTGTGGTTCTTGTCCTGAGCTGGGGCTCCCTGGGCCTGGAGGCGGCCACAGCCGTGGTGAGTGCAGGGTCCTGGGGCCCGTGTGGGGCTGGTGCCTTAGGACATGGGGGCCTGGGTCACAGGTTCTGAGGCTTGGGGCTGGGGGCCTGGGCTCCTGGGTCTGAGGGAGGAGGCTGGGGGCACTGAGTCCGCGGAGGGTGACGTTGGCGCAGTCTATGGTCTGAGTGAGCCCCCTTTCCTGCTGCTTCTGTCAGGGCCTCAGTGACTTCTGCTCCAGTCCAGACACCTACGTCCTGAACCTGACCCAGGAGGAGACTGGGCTTGGCTCAGGTGAGCCCGCTGGTCTGGGGCGCACAGGCCTCTGTGCTCGGTCCTGCCTGGGGTGGGGTGGGGGTGCCCAGGGATGGCCAGGCTGCCCTGTCTCTGAAGCTCTCCCGCACCTCCTGGGTGGGCTGGAAAAGACAGAGGGGTGAAGATGATGGGCTCCAGAGATGGGATTGAGGCCTGAGGGATAGAGGATTTTGCCACTTGGGGCAACTGCGGGGGGGGGGGGCACAATGTAGTGAAGCAGACAACCTCAGAAGCAGGGATTCCTAGGGAGTGTGGGCACTAGCGTGGTTTGGGCTGTAGCCAGAGCAGAAGCTTCTAGGGGCTGAGCGAATGGCCAGTCTCAAAACGCCAGGCCACTGGGACCACAGGAGGGTCCTGAGCTGGGGAGAGCCCCTGGCCCTGAGGGTGGAAAGACAGGGCCCTGCCCAGGGCCCCTGCACCCTGCCCCCAACGGAGGCCCACCCCGGCTCAAGACCTCTCCTTTTTCTCCTCCTGCCATAGACATCCTGAACTATTATTTCCTCTGCAACCAGGCCGTCTCCAACCCCTTTCAACAGGTTAGGGCTGCGGACCAGGGAATGGGGTGGAGGAGGGGTGGGGCCTGGACTTAGGGGTCCTGAGGGAGGATGAAGGCGCAAGGGGCCCCCAGTTCTGTGACCTGAGAGAGGAGTGGGCTGGGGGCGCGGGCCATTGGGTACTCCTCGCGCCCTGTGTTCCTGCAGAGGCTGACTTTGTCCCAGAGAGCTCTGGCCAACATCCACTCCCAGCTGCAGGGACTGGAGCGAGAAGCTGTGCCCCAGTTCCCTTCCGCGCAGGTCGGCGGTCCCCCTATACCCGGGCTCCCACCAGGGCAAGGGCCAGGACAGACCAATGGTGTGGGCGGGGCCCACGGAAAGAGCGGGTTGATGGGCGTGGCCATGGAAGTGAAGGGGTGTGGTCCTGAGATGTGGGCGGGCCTGGGGGGAGGGGTCGGTGGGCGTGCCCTGGTGCGGGTGTGTGAGGGACGGTGGTGGGTGGGGCGGGCTTGGTCTGAAGTGTGGGCGGGGTCAAGAAGAGGAGTAGGTGGTTGTAGGCGGAGCCTAAATAAAGGGGCGTGGTCCGCCTGTGTGGGCGGGGCCTGAAGAGATGGGCGGGGCCCCGCGACAGGCCGACGGAGTCGGTGGGATAATTACTTCCGTGCTCTCACCGCAGAAACCTCTGCTGTCCTTAGAGGAGACGTTGAATGTGACTGAAGGAAACTTCCACCAGTTGGTGGCCCTACTGCACTGTCGAGGCTTGCACAAGGTGACTCCTGGCCCCTCCCCAAATTATTCTCACGGGGTGCCTCTGATTGGAGAAGGTCCTCCTTCTCCTCCGATCCTGCCGGTCTTTTTCCCATTGTTCCCAAGACAATGTCCCCAAGACTCCCTCTTCTCTCCTTCCCCTCGCCTCTCCCTCCCTCCCTAAGGCTGTGCAACTTAGTCAATTCTGGAGCGAGACTGCCTGGGTTCCAGTCCTAGCTCTTGACCTCAGGCAAGTCGCTGACTTCTCTGTGCCTCAGTTTCCTCGCTTATAAAACCAGAATTCGGGGGTGAATATCTGTGAAGCCCTCGTGTCTTGCATGCTGTCGTCGGAGGCAGGGGTGGGCAGGACACCCAGAAGAAAGAGAGCCTGGTGTCCTGCACACTCCTTCCAGTCGGGGCTCCGACCAGGGCTGTGTGGCCCCTGGCAGACGTGTGCCCCTGAATCTCGGTTTCCTTTCCTGTGAAGTGAGGGAGAGGGGACCTGCTTTACCCCGGGTGGTTGTGAGGGCTCAGGACAAAATCAGCCTTCCCCCCGTGCACGCATGGGCTTTACTAACTGTGGGCTCTGGGCTCTCACGGAGCCCTCGTGGTATTGGGAAGGGCTGGCTGTTATTGTCTGTCTTACAGACTTGGGTTATAAAGTCCACAGGGCTGGGTCGCCCCGATGGCCCATGCACGGGGTCCTCGCCCCTCTTATTTTCCTAGCCCCCACGGCCAGGCAGTCACCCAGTTATCCCTTCTGCTTCCTGACTGTCCTCATTTACTGTCTGACACCCTCTCCCTGGCCCCCCAACCCCAAGAGCCTGCTGCAGTTCAGGCCTGAGGCCACACACCTCCTTTCCTTCCCTGCCTGGGCTCTTGCTTAGGCTGCCAGATTCTGCAAGTGATAAATACCTTTTTACTCTAATTGTGCCCCAGCCACACTGGGGAGACACCTGTACTAGGTTTGGGTTGCTGTGGGGCATCTGAAATTCAAACCTAACTGGGTGTCCTGGGTTGGACCAGGCAACCCGAGGGCCCCCCGGAGGGACCTGTCAATCCCACAGGACAGGTCTGAGCTGCTCCTTGCCATGTTCAAATCCCATCCATGGCTTCCACTGCCCCGCCAAACTTCTAAAATCGGCATGCTAACCCTGGGGCATGGGGGCAGCGCTGAGTCAACAGAGCTCCTGAACACCAGAGCTGAGAAAGGCGGGATGTGCTTGAAGGCCTCACTGCTCTTTATTCAAATAGCCCACACGTTTTTCTATGGTCCAGATGGACAGTGGGCTGGAGTGCAGCCGGGGGGTCCTCCTGAGGCAGGAAAGGGAGGGAGGAGGAGGGCGCGTCAGACTCGCCCTGTGGTCCACTCATGCCTCGTGTGAGCCTGGTTCCCCACCTGGACCTCAGGGTCCCCTACAGTAAAATCAGGATGCGGGAGCTCAGGGAGAATGTGGCAGGGAGGTGGGCCCTGAAGCCTGACAGACCTGGTGCCGATCCCAACTCTGCCCCTTCCAGGCCGTGTGACTCTGGGCAGGTGGCTTGTCCATCCTGCCACTGCAAAAGGCAGCAGTGTGAGCTCTGCCTTTGCATAGCTGGCAGGGGGATGAAAGGACACGGTGTGTGTCCGCTCCTGCCGATGCAGAACCCCATTGCCCTGACGGGCCCCTCCCCTGGGCTTCACTGGCTCCGTACCAGGAACCCCACCTTGACCCTCATGCAGGGGCTCAAGCCAGAAACCCAGGAGATCCCTTTTTCTCCTGTCCTTACCTCCCACAACCATGTTGCGGCCCTCCCTCTGAAACCCCTGTGCAGTCTGAGCACCACTGACACGCCCCCACTGCTGCAACCCCGGTCCCACCCTGTCCACCTCCCGCCCCACGCCCAGAGACTCCTCCCCGTCCCCTGCTTGCTGCATTTCCCCAGCTGCTCTCCCGGCGACAGCCAACAGCTGGGTCAGCCTTTTAAACACAATCCGATCAAGGTCTCCGTCTGCCTTAAACCCTCCGGGGATTCCCCTGCAGGCAGATTAATGCCTCTGCTTCTCCGGAGGCCTGCACAGGGACTGAGTGGTTGGTCCTGCCTGGTCTGCAGTCTTGCCCCTTGTGTCCCTTCCTCAGAAACGTCACAGCAGCCTTCAGCGTGTCTCTGCGCTCCAGACCTCCCCTGGGCCCAGCCCCTTCCTGTCGGTGCCATCTGGGCTGTGGGGCCCCAGGACTGCCTCCCTTGGCAGCTGCAGTAGCAGGGGGTGGGGGTGGAGCTGGTTACTGAAATCTCCCGTTACCTGGAACCTACTGTGGGGCAGGCTCAGAGCAGAGCAGGCCCCTGGCCAATCCTCACTGATTCATGATGGCCAGGCAGTCAGTAAATGGGGCTCCTGATGATTTCCAGGGTAACAGCTGGATTTACCAAGCGTGTGTTATGTATGAGGTGCAGTTCCAACGCAGGGGGTCTTCTAAGTGTTATCCTGGGTGTTGTCCCAGGCCAGCGATTTTGCCCAGGGGACACTTGGCAATGTGTGGGGATATGTTTGGTTGTCACAACTGGGGGAGTGGGGGTGGGGTGGCAGGTAGGGTGGAGGTTCTCAGTGACCGACAGGAAGCCGAGATTTGAGATCAGACCTGTGGGTGTAATAATGAGTGACCACAGCACCTACTGTGCGCTGAGCGCTTCCTATGTGCCAGGCTCTGTGCTGAGCATGTGTGATGGCAGGGAAACTGCGGCACAGAGAGGTTGAGTGACTTTCCCAGCATTGCACAGCCGGGAGGACAGTCTGAGTGGTGCACAGAGAGGGGACACTGCCCACTGATGCCCTCCCTGCCCCCCCCCCCAGGATTACGGCGCAGCCCTGCGCGGCCTGTGTGAAGACGCCCTGGAAGGCCTGCTCTTCCTGCTGCTCTTCTCCCTCCTGTCTGCGGGAGCCCTGGCCACCGCTCTCTGCAGCCTGCCTCGCGCCTGGGCCCTGTTCCCACCCAGGTCTGGAGGGGAGAGAGGAGGGGGGAGGAGAACCTGGCAGGGGTGGCAGCGTTGAGGGACCAGCCTCCTGATGGATTCCCCCATCCTGCTTCTCTGCCACTGCCCCCATTGCACCCCAGTGACGACTACGATGACACAGACGATGACGACCCTTTCAACCCTCAGGTACTGGACCCCTGGGTCCGAGGGAGGAGGATGGGGGCCCACACGACTGAGCCAGACTCCCATGCCATGCCCTCCTCCTCTGGCTCCAAACCCCCCGCAGGAATCCAAGCGCTTTGTGCAGTGGCAGTCATCTATCTGAGCCCCTTCTCCACGTCCCACTGGAGCCGGCCCCTCCTCCCCGGTGAGTTGCCAACATGGCGCCCCAGCTCCCAGAGCCAGCCTCCGCCCTCCTCCTCTCCCCGTGTGGTAGCCTTCCCCCCAGCGTCCAGTGCCCTGTCTCTGTCTCCCTCTGCAGTTCCTTCCCTGGCGGCCAGAGAAGACCCCACTAACCCAGCCTCACTGGGCTCCCACCACTAACACCACCCCTGGCCACGGACACCCCAAACAGGACTGCCTTCCTGCCCTGCTCTCTCTCTACGCGCCCTTAGCCCTGAGAGGAGGCTGACGGCAGAGCGGGGCGGGGCAGTCCCTGGAGAGGGGACCCCCTCCTCCTTGGCCACCAGGGCCATTCTCCAAGAGACTTGTGTGCCCTCCCTCCCACCGTGCACTGGTGGGCTCAGGGCCCCTGATCTCAACTTGTGGCACTAACTTGGGAATGGGTTGATTTGAAATAAAAGGGAAGACTTTATTTTACAAGCAGCCGGGTCCTTCCTATTTCTCCCCTCCTCAATCCGGCCCCCTGGTGGGAGGGGATCTCCCTTCCACTCGGGCTCCAGGCTCCCTGGCATTTCTGCTCCTGCCTGGGCTGTGCAGCGGTTCCGAAGGAATTGCTATTGAAAAACAAACAAACAAACAAACAAACACTTCCCCCTGATTCTAAAAGCAGTACACCTGTCCTGAGCAGGAAAACAGTCATCTCTGGGATGGAAGAGACGGTCTAGACCTAGATCTTGGGGTGTGTGTACAGGACAGAAGTCAGATTTCAAGTCAGGGTGGAAAGGACTGGTTGGTTTTACATCATTGCTAACACCGTGGGCTTTCCATCTGGAAGGAAACACTCTATAGACAGGATGGGTGCAAGATGTCAATGTAGGCAAGGGGATAGAAGTATTTCAAGAGGAAGGAGAATTTTGTATATTGTATATCATGCTGAGGGGTGGTGGATATCCTAAAGCCAGAGAAAAAGGTAATCTAGTGTATAAATGGTGGGATGAAAAATAATACTGTAAAGGGGCAAATGAGTAGTCTGGAGAAAATCGTGTTGTTAAGAAATACTACGTATGGCAAAGTAATATAACTCTTACTACATTAATATAATCTACAAAGCTTCCCCAAAGAAAAAGGCTAACTGAAAAACAAGCAACTAGGCCTGGGTGGTGTGGCTCAGTGGATTGAGTGCCAGCCTGCAAACCAAAGGGTCAGCGGTTCAATTCCCAGTCAGGGCACATGCCTGGGTTGCAGGCCAGGTCCCCAGTAGGGGGCGTGTGAGAGGCAACCACACAGTGATGTTTCTCTCTCCCTCTCTTTCTTCCTCCCTTTCCACTCTAAAATTAAATAAATAAAATCTTTAAATAAAAAAAAAAAACAAGCAACTAAGTTGAACATCTAAATCCCAACACCAGTAAACAGACCAAAAGACATTGAAACCTGGATAATTAAGAACTATAATTGAAACGCATTTCCCCCCCACCTCCCAGTTCTCATAAAGTTAAAATGAAAGGAGTGCTAACATCCTGTGCTGGTTGGTGAGGATGTGAAGGACCAGGGCACTTAGACACGCTGCTCCTGAGACTGTGAATTACAATCCTATGAAAACTATAATTTCACATGACATAAAATCAAAACTGCCCAGACCCCCGTGTGCTGGGTGTCCTGCTTTTGGGAGTCCATTTATGAAAAAACAAGGCAGAGGCATCTAAGGACGTACATGTAGGGCTGTTTGCTGCAATACTTTTGATTGGCTAAACTCTGGAGACTGAAATCTACAAAAGACAAATCTGTTTAGTCACTGTATGGCCGGGCTCTCTGAAGCTGTCCACAGCTGTTGGCCAGGTTTGGGATTTTGGGCGGGGCAGAGGAAATGGGGTGGAGCCTGAGAGATTTGAGGTGGGTGTGACAGACACGGACAGTGAAGTGGACAAATGCAGATGAGGCCCTGGTTCAGGGACATGGGCAGTCCCTTGAGCTGTGGGATCAAGGCTGCCTCATCTCCTGGACAGCTTCCCAATCCCTCCTCTCAATTCTGAAATCAAAGAGCTGCTAGACAGCCCGGAGGGCCTCCCTTAACTCACTAGCCTGACCCACCACCCTGGCACCTGGTCCCTTACAGACAATTTCCCGCTTGGGAGGAATGTCCACCTATTTCCTACAGAAACACTGTTGGGGTTACTTCCAAGTGCTGTGCAGGGTACGGAGGGTACCATGTGGTGTGTGGACGATAAACCATCTTGCCTCTTGAAACGGAAAAACTCCAGATCCCAACACACACATGCAGCCCCAGGGGCTTCAGGTCAGAGCTTGTTGTTCCGGACGGCCCACATGCCTTCCAGGACTGCTCCATGCTCCTTAATCATTTCCATCTTGGGAACTGCAAGGAATGTTCAAGGCAGCTTCTGGTGTGTGGGCTGGAAGCTGGGAAGAGAAAGCCACCATTTTCAGCCTGGGCCTCTGGGGGCCGCCTGTGTTGACTTTTTTTCTCCTGACTGAGCCCTGTTCTCTGCCACTCCCTTCACCCCAGCAGGGGCCAGCCCTGCTGCCTCTTGGGCTGCTTTGCTCTCCAGCCCTGCCTTCTAGTGACACAGACCACCAGCCCAGGAGCCCGATCTTTGTGTTGATTATTCATATTGGTTGGATGTTTGCAAACTACCTGCCTGATTTCCTGCCAAGGAGCCTGCCAGTCATCTCCACTTGGGAAGCTTTAACCAAGAAAAAAGGACACTTGCTTAATTGAACCTTTAAGAGAGGTAAATCTTTTTTATTTTTAAATGATACATATAAGCGGTTTCACTGCCCTCCTTCCTGAAACAACCCAAAAGCCAGACAAAATACATGAAGCAATAAAGGTGCTCAGGTCCCTGGATGTCAGACAAAGAAGAGGAGAGATCACAGGGAGATGGAAAACATGGAGCTGAGGCCTGAAGTGGGCAGAGCCGGGCCATCAGTTTCCGACCACAGGACAGGGGAGGGGAATTGAGGCACAGCACCTCCCACAGGCCTCACTGAAAACTGCTCCAGAAAAAGTCTTATCTCTTTAGAAAAAATGCTCAAACCCAAAAGAGGAAAACGGGAGCAGAGAGGGTCGGCTGCTTTGTCTGTGGAGTAGCCCACTCCCTGTCTCGCTGCTTCACTAATAAACTCTCTCCCACTTTAAACTCAAAAAAAAAAAAAAAAAAAAAAGATAGACAAATAGAAACCCAATAGCAAGTTGACAGGCTTAAATGTAGCCACACCAAAAATCACGTTAAAGAACAGTCACAAACACTGCTTTCAAAAGGCAGAGACTGCACACTTGGGTAAAAAAAAAAAAAAAAGGCCCGACCAGATGGTGTCTACGAGAACCCACAAATACAGGGGAAGAAACTAAAACTAAAGGGATGCTAAACATGCGGTGATACCCGGGATTGGACTAACAGCCAATAGTGAAAAAAAAGGGTGAAATTCCAACAAAGTCTGCCATTTAGTTAGTAGTAATGTGCCAACGTTGGTTTCTTAGTTTTAACAAATGTATTACAATAATACATGTGTTAGCATTAGGGGACACTGGGTGGAGGATATGCAGAAAACTCTGAATGCACTCTGCAACTTTTTTTTGTAAATCTAAAAGTACTCTAAAAGTGTAATTAAAAAAAAAATAAAAGGGAGCGGGAGGTGGAGGTGGAAGAGGGTATGGGGCGGGGGGAGGGCGTACATGGTGATGGGGGAAAAAGGATGAAAAAAGTCCAGCATGCTAACAGAAACAATACATGGTATCAACAGGAAAGTTATAGTAGGAAATGGAGGAAGGGGAGACGCCTTTAAATACTGCTCCACCACCTGCTATTCCTACCGTGACCGGTCCCCCAATGGACGGGATAATTTAATCCGCGTCCTGGAAGGCAACAGACGCACCCTCTCAAAGTTTCGTTACAAGAAGTTTCACCAAGGGGCTGTTTACACAGATGTTCCGACTTCCTCAGACTGACATCAGTGGACTTGCAGGACCTGCCTCATCACTCCAGGACCCCACTGCCTCATCACTCCGTCCCCGCTCCCTCCATCCCCCAGTAAGCAGGCCTTTTTCCCGCCTCCGAGCGTTCGCATATGCTGTACTCTTGACCAGGTGTGCCGTTCCCGTTTCCTTTACTAAGCTTCCATTTCCGATGGGGCTCGTTTCCTCCCGAGTTCGTCATTCTGTCCCCCAGGCTTCGACATCCCTGGACAATGGGCAGTCTTACAAGTCCCACTACTCTTAGTTTGTATTTAGGGATTGTAATAATGCACCCACTAACGCAGCCAAAACACGGCGGCGCGACGGGGGACGCCGGGCGGGGGTGGCCGGGAGAGGGTCCACTACGCCGCACTGTCCCCTCCGGGACACCGTCCCCACACGGCCTTCCGGCTCGCCCGGAGCGTCCACCCGGTCATTGCGTAAGCGGAGGGGGCGGGCTCAAGTCAAGTCCGCGGCGTCCATTGGCTGTGCGGGGTCGACGGAGGCGGGACGAGGCCTCCGCATGACGTCACAGCGCCGCAGTCGGAACGACGAAGCCCAAGGAAGACAAGAGTCAGCTGGCTCGCGAGCAATCCCGGGGCCGTGTGGTTATTTCCTTGGCTCACTGTTGCCGAGTCCCGGGGACGAAAGTACGAGGTGGGTGTGGGGGGCGGCGGGCGGGTGGGCATGGCGTCTCCTCTCGGTCTTAACGCCCCGCGGGCGCCAAGGCCTTGGTGGCTGTCACCCCAACGGACGCTGCCCGCGAGCGTCGACAGGGTGTGGCGGGCTAGGGCGGCACTGCGCCTGCGCACGTGGGGTGGGGCCCGCGACCACGCACCTTCTGGTGTGTGGGGTCAGTTTCTGCTCCCCGCTTGTCCCTTGGAATATCCGGTCTTTCCCCAGCGCCCCTCCCGTATCTCCCATTGCCAGGGCAGTTCCACGGGGTCCCAGGAGACGGGTGGCCTTTGCGCCATCTTCCCGGGAACGTGGTGCGCACGCGCGGCGCGGCCTGGGCGGTGGCACCGGGGCCAGGTGCCGGTATCCGGACTGGCCTTTCCTCTTGTGCCTTCCTCGGGCCTGCCCAACGGTCAGGTGCCTCCGCCTTTTACACTTAACAGGGCTGTCACTCCGGGCACCTCCAGGCCTTACCCCAGTACCTTCCTGTGTGGCCTCCCTGTCAATACCCCGCGCCTGAACCCCTGCTTACTCTTCTGTCCCCTGGGCACCGTTATCTTGCATCTAAGACGTTTTCTAGGGTTTTTCCTAGCTCCAGACTCTTGTTTGTGTCTCCTCACTTCTTGTAGATTTGTTGGGTCTTCTATCAGGACTGGCTTTTGCGCTCATCCATACTTCTCATTTCTACAAGTTTAGTCTCCCCAATTTTTGCCCCAAGACACCTGTTCACTTTCTGGTGCCCCTCCCCACTCCACTCTTAACTTGGAGTGATTGAGGCTTCCCTAACCTTCCCACTGCAGACCCGTAGGGAGGCAGTTGCCTTCTCTCTCCTGGACCTCATCTTCCCATACACGTTCCCTGCCTTAGGGAACCTTTCTGCAGTGGTTCTCATGGAGCTTTCTAGAAAGCCATTTCCTCACTTTGTTCTCAACTTCTGCACGCTCAACTTCTTTTTGTTTCTAGGAGTAACTTACAGAAACCACTCTTTTCTCGGGGTGTTTTTTTTTCCTTTGTTCTCCTAGGTTCTTTGTCCAAGGCTTCCTCAGACCCTTCCCTCTATTTACAGAGTTCTCCCAGTCTTAAGGGTTCACCCAGACTCGCTCTAGAGCATCCTTGCTCTCCTGCTGCTTCTCAGGGATTCTTGAACTTCTTACCCTGGACTGAGGTTGTCTCCCCACTCTCTGACCTGCCTCAGCGTTTCCCTCGAATCCTTCCCTTTCATGTGGGTTTCAGATCCTCCTCATTCCCTCTGGGAAATCCCTTCAGACTTCCCTCTTTTCAGGCCCTTCATTTTCCACCCAGGGCATCGCAGGCAGGCCCAGGTCTTCCCCTCACATGGTGGCCCTTTTATCCCTCACCCAGAATGTTCTTCAGGGTCTTTCCCCCAGGGGCTCCTCCTCTCCAACCCCCCTCTTCTGCCTGGCTTCCCGTGAGTTCATCTGCTTGTCTTTTCCACTTTGTGACATGTTTTTTGCTGCTTCTGGAGTCTCCCCAATTTCTTCATTTTCTCACAGACAGTCTGAAAAAGCAGTCTGGCTCCCGAGGCCCACCCCTTACACCCCAAGGTCCAGATGGCGGCCAACGTGGGTGATCAGCGCAGCACAGACTGGTTAGTGGGACAGAGGGGCGGGGCAAAGGGAAGCACTCCCTGGGGGGGGAAGTGATGCAACAGTGGGTGGGGGTGGGGGCTCAGAGTGCAGGGCACACTTGGTTCTAGTGGGGAGATGGTCACGCCTTCTGAGCCTCCACGCTTCACAGCACAGCACTGGTTTTACAGAATTGTGGTGCTTCATTCAAGTGACCTGTGGTTGGGAAACAACCTCCAACACGTACCACTTGCCGTCTGTCTTTTTGCCAGTTTCTTGTTTTCTTCAAAGTTGTGATTACAACCTGCTGAGTGGGGTGGTGTCGGACAGAAGTCGTCGGTTCATAGAACATTTAGACCTGCTAGGCACCGGGTCCTATGTTAAGTCCTATGGGTAGTGGTGGTTACTTTGTTTGCTTGACTTTTTAACAGCTGCTTGTGTGCCAGGCACCTGCGAAAGTCCTGTAGGTAGGTGTGCCCATCGATTCCACACAGAAGTGAAACAGAGACACGGTGTCAGCACACCGTAGGTGGGAGATTTGGGCTGCAGGAGACGGCAAGAGGGAGACCGGGGCTCCCAGCCCGGCGGTGCAGGTGGGGAGAACACACTGATTCCGTGTGCGCTCTCCGCAGGTCCTCTCAGTACAGCATGGTGGCCGGGGCGGGCAGGGAGAACGGCATGGAGACGCCCATGCACGAGAACCCAGAGTGGGAGAAGGCCCGCCAGGCCCTGGCCAGCATCAGCAAGGCGGGCGCTGCCAGCACCTCCGCCAAGGGCAGCAACAACGGGCCTGTGGCCAGTGCACAGGTGAGGAGGCTGCATGGGCTTGGGCTCCCTGGTGGGTGGGGGCGATGCTTCTGGGGGGTGGGGCACACTTGGTGTCGTCCCAGGTCTGAAGACACTGTAGGAGCCCTAGAATGGGGGAAGCAGAGACTGTTTCCTTGAAGCGTCTGGGGCGCCATGTATCCCTGAGGTGCCCAAGTCTGATGGCAGAGTTGGTGTCTCTCCATCTAGAGTCTGCCCCCGGTTCTGCTCGTGGCAGTCAGTCAGGAGATAGGCCTGCCTTTTGGGGCCTGTGGGCCGTGGGCTCCTGCTGCCCAGGCTGATGGCCACGGGCCTCTCCCCACAGTATGTGTCGCAGGCGGAAGCCTCGGCCCTGCAGCAGCAGCAGCAGTACTACCAGTGGTACCAGCAGTACAGCTACGCCTACCCCTACAGTTACTACTACCCTGTGGTGAGTGTGCACGATGCCCCGAGCCCCGCCCCATCCCCCCATCCCCGTGGCCCGCTGGGTCCCAGCCTGGTTCTGAGGACCTTCATTGTTTAAAGGATCACCTCACTCTCCACTTGGCCTCTTTTTTTGGCCTTTAACAGCACTTACTACTCAACATTTTATATGTGTGTCCACATTCGTGTGTGTTTTTTAAAAAATATTTTATTTCTTTATTTATTGAAAGAAGGGAAGGGAGGGAGAAAGAAAGGAAGAGAAATATCACTGTGTGGTTGCCTCTCACACACCCCCTACTGGGGACCTGGCCCAAAACCCAGGCATGTGCCCTGACAGGGCATTGAACCTGTAACATCTTTGATTTGCAGGCCAGTGCTCAACCCACTGAGCCACACCAACCAGGGCTCACATCTACATGTATTTTGAGTGCCAGCTTCATTCAGGCCTGAATTGTTACCCTTTTTTTTTTTTTTTTTTTTTGTCCTCACCCAAGGACATTCCTGTGGAAGGACATTCCTGTGTCCTTTCCAAGAGAAAGGAAGGGAGGGAGAGAAACACTGAAAGTTGCCTCTCGTACGTGCCCCCAGCTGGGGACCTAACCTGCAACCTAGGCATGTGCCCTGACCAGGAATCAAACCCATGACCCTTTGGTCTGAGAGGTGGCGCCTGACCACCTGAGCCACACCATCTGGGGAGGGATGTTTCGTGTTTGCTCTGCTCTAGTGCTTAGGAGAGCTGGCACGCAGCAGATATTTGTGAAATAGAGATAAAATCCTGAGAACCAGTGGGAGTGGGATATAGAGTTGATAGAAGGTTTTATTTTATTTAGTAACTTTCTCAACTTAAGGGAACGTGGTGCCTTCACGTGGTGGAGAAAAGGAGAGCTATGAGCCATGAGGAGGAGGGAGGGTCAGGACAGTGTCGGCTACTGAGCAGCAGGAGGAGGGGAGCTGGCCTGCCGCTGACCCTCCCTTCTGCCTGTGCAGAGCATGTACCAGAGCTACAGCTCCCCCTCCCAGTACGGGATGGCCGGCTCCTACGGCTCTGCCGCGCCCCAGCAGCCAGCGGCCCCCCAGCACCAAGGCACTCTCAGCCAGGTAACGCCCCCGCCGGTCCGCGTGCGTGGTGCAGCTAGGGCACAGTTTTTGAGTGGCCTAGCAGCAGGGACGCCTGTGATACGGTGTGACCCCCCCCCACCCCCTTTCTCTCCTGCCAAGCAAGTGCTGCTCTGCAAATGAGGAGGGCAGAGCAGAGACTTTGAAACCAGATGGGCGGCCTGGCGAGGCTGGGGCCTGGCTGTTGGGGTGGTGGCGGGAGCAGCCCGGAGTGTGGCAGGCTGTCCTCGGTCCCTCCCCCCGCCTGTGCACTCACGTGTGCAGCCGCAGTCTGGCCCTACCCGGCACTTAATGCGTGCCTGGGTGGGGCGGTGCAGGGCGGCTGCAGATCTGGGGTCGAGTCCCAGCAGCCTCTGGTGGCGTGACGACAAGTCAGGTGCCCAGCAGCTCACCCAGTTCAGAGTGGCAATGGTGACGGGGCGCAGGGCTGACGTGAGCGTGTGTGATCGCTGACCGGGACAGACATGCAGGACATAACCATGGGGTGGGGGAGGATGCTGCCACCTCACAGTCGGGGCCGCGGGAAGGCAGCTCTGTGTCCGAGCCGGAGTCTCCAGTGTGAAAGGGTGGTTAGCAGGGGAAAGGCACGGCAGAGCCGAGGGCTGAGGGAAGGGGCCGAGGACAGAGAGAGCAGCCCCGAGACTCTGCCCCTGTCCTCAGCGCCGCTTCCTTCGGCAGCCCCCGGTCCCCGGCATGGACGACAGCATGTCCTACCAGGCCTCTCCCCAGCAGCTGCCGGCAGCCCAGCCCCCTCAGCCTTCCAACCCGCAACACGGGGCTCATGCTCTCAGCAGTGGTCCCCAGCCTGGGACGGCCCCAGCCACACAGCACAGCCAGGCGGGGCCTGCTTCAGGCCAGGCCTATGGGCCGCACACCTACCCCGAGCCCACCAAGCCCAAGAAGGGTCAGCAGCTGTGGAACCGCATGAAGCGTGAGTGGGCACTGGTGCAGAGAAGCCAGGGCGTGGGGCTGGACCTCACCGCACCCGGGCAGGAGGCGTGGGGGTGCTGGGATCGTCCCAAAGCCTTGGGGTGCCCACCTAGAGCTGGGCCTCCCATTCCCAGGGGTGGCCTAACCCCAGCTTTCATTTCACTGCCCACCCCTGCAGCAGCCCCTGGGACTGGTGGCCTCAAGTTCAACATTCAGAAACGGCCCTTCGCCGTCACCAGCCAGAACTTCAGCTCCGCCTCGGAGGGCCAGCACAGCAGCTTTGGCCCGCAGCCCAACCCTGAGAAGGCCCAGAACCACAGGTGACAGCCCCTTGCCTCTGTACTCAGCATCCGTGCACCCCACGCAGGCCCTGCACCCGGGGTGGCCGGGAGCATGGAAAGGGGGCAGAGAAGACACGCTGCAGCCGAGCGTGCACGTGCCTGGGCTCGGGTGGTGGGCACTGGGCTCCGTCGGCGCGGGTGCCCCCAGCTGAGGCCCCACGCCTGCCTCTCGCAGGGGCAGCCTGTCTGGGAAGCCGGATGACTGGCCGCAGGACATGAAGGAGTACGTGGAGCGCTGCTTCACGGCCTGCGAGTCGGAGGAGGACAAGGACCGCACGGAGAAGCTGCTCAAGGAGGTGCTGCAGGCCCGGCTCCAGGATGGCTCAGCCTACACCATCGACTGGAGCCGGGAGCCTCTGCCAGGGTGAGGGCTGCCTGGGGGCCTGGCTGGGGCCCGGAGGGCGGAGCCAAGGGCTGTGGAGGCTGGCGGGCGTGCGGGCCTTGGTGGCTGAGGGCTCCCTGTGGATAGAGAAGCGTGGCGTTTGCCTCCCCCTTCTGCAGCGAGTTACGTATCACCTGGGTGCATGCCCGGGGCAGGTGGCAGAGGAGGACGTTGGGAGCGTGGTTGGTGATGTCCTGCTCTGTCCTCAGGCTGACTCGGGAGCCTGTGGCGGAGAGTCCCAAGAAGAAGCGGTGGGAGGCCCCCAGCAGCCTTCACCCTCCTAGGGGGGCAGGCTCCACGGCCAGGGGCGGGGGTGCCCAGTCACAGCGAGGGACACCAGGGGCTGGGGGTGCTGGCCGAGCGCGGGGCAGCAGCTTCGCCAAGTTTGGCAACCGCAATGTCTTCATGAAGGACCACAGCTCCTCCTCCAGCACGGACTCGCGTTCCCGCTCCTCCTCCCGGTCCCCGACCCGCCACTTCCGCCGCAGGTGCGCAGGCTCCGTGTGGGGGTGGGCCCGTGGGGGGGGGCAGCAGGGGCCTCACCTTCTGCTTCTCCCCACAGTGACTCCCACTCGGACTCGGACAGTTCTTACTCAGGGAATGAGTGTCAGCCTGTGGGCCGCAGGAACCCACCCCCCAAGGGCCGGGGAGGTCGGGGGGCCCACATGGATCGGGGCCGAGGCAGGGCACAGCGAGGGAAGAGGTGAGCCATTGCGAGGGTGACCAGGGAGGGTGCCCTGCCCTCGGGCAGCACTGGAGAGGCTGAGCAGTGCTGGCCACCTGCCGCCTCCACCCACCCTCCTCCCTTCCCCCCAGGCACGACCTAGCTCCCACGAAGCGCAACCGAAAGAGGATGGCGGCTCTGGAGTGCGAAGACCCCGAGCGCGAGCTGAAGAAGCAGAAGCGGGCGGCCCGCTTCCAGCATGGGCACTCCCGCCGCCTGCGCCTCGAGCCCCTGGTGCTGCAGGTGGGCAGCCTGGAGAGCAGCGGGGCCGACCCCGACTGGCAGGAGCTGCAGATCGTGGGCACCTGTCCCGACATCACCAAGCACTACCTGCGCCTCACCTGTGCCCCGGACCCGTCCACCGTGCGCCCTGTGGCGGTGCGTGCTGGGGAGGGCAGGGGCCTGTGGCCGGCCGGGTGGGTGCGGGGAGCCCTGAGTCCTGGCCGCACAGCCTTGTCCGGAGGCTTGCTGGGCTTGTGGGCCTCTGGGTCCTTCCTGAGATGGAGAGGAGAACCCCAGCATCCTCAGGGAGGTTCGGGGACAAGGCAGGGAACGTTCGTCCCAGGGGCACACAGGCCAGGTGCTGATGTGGGGACCGGTCAGGAGCACTCATGCTTGCCGACCTGTGGGCGCTTTCTCATGTCACTGAGCCCTCATTCCAGACACCGAGTTAGTGGGACCTGACGGGGCTCGGCACGTCCCTGCTCTGCCTGCCTGTCACACTGAGCCCCCCTGTGACCCTTCCCAGGTTTTGAAGAAGTCTCTGTGCATGGTCAAGGCCCAGTGGAAGGAGAAGCAGGACTACGCCTTTGCCTGCGAGCAGATGAAGTCCATCCGGCAGGACCTGACAGTGAGGGCCCGGGGCCCGGGGCGCAGGGCGCAGGGGAGGGAGCTGCATCCCACCCTGCTCCAGCCTGACTCCTGCCTGCTCCCCAGGTACAAGGCGTGCGCACCGAGTTCACAGTGGAAGTGTACGAGACGCATGCCCGCATCGCCCTGGAGAAGGTGAGTTGGCTGAGGGCTCCCCAGGCTCCCGTCCAGGCTGCACTCGGCCTCACTGTGCTCCTCCTCCTCCTTCCTCACCTCACCTGCCAGGGTGACCACGAGGAGTTCAACCAGTGCCAGACGCAGCTCAAGTCGCTGTACACAGAGAACCTGCCTGGCAACGTGGGCGAGTTCACTGCCTACCGGATCCTCTACTACATCTTCACCAAGAACTCCGGAGGTGAGAGGTGCAGCCGCGGGACCTGGGGGGCCCCAGCCCCCAGGGTAGGGCCCTGCTGATCTTTCGTCTCGGCCGCAGACATCACCACGGAGCTGGCCTACCTGACTCGGGAGCTGAAGACGGACCCCTGTGTGGCCCATGCCTTGGCACTGAGGGCAGCCTGGGCTCTGGGCAACTACCACCGCTTCTTCCGGCTCTATGGCCACGCGCCCTGTATGTCTGGCTACCTCATAGACAAGTTTGTGGACCGAGAGCGCAAGGCCGCCCTCAAGGCCATGATCAAAACGTATGTTCAGCTGAGCTCTCCCCTGGCCCTCCTCTCGTTTCCCTCCGCACAGTCCCAGTGGGCGGGCCTTGAGCCCCCGTCCCCGGTCAGTCCAGGCTCCTCCGGTCTCCTGCCTGGTCTCCTCTTCCTCCTCCTCGTCTTCCCCTCCCGTCCTTCCTGCTGTCCTCTGCACAGCCCGCCCTCCACCACCCGCTGTCTCGCTCCAGGCCCCTCCTCCCCTGCTGCTCCTCCACCGCCTCTCTTCACGGCTCTCCTGTCACTGAGCTCCTGCTTTAGGGACAAACTAGAAAACTTGGCCCCACCCTTGGCAGCTTCTGGTCAGATGGGACAGGCCCCGTTCCCACTTGAGTCCTTTGAGTGAAAAAACATCAGGGAAACTGGCTGGCCCTGGGCCGTGCTTGTAGAGGGCGTGTCCTCTGCTGCCCAGACTGGGAGCATGCCAGAGTGCCTGTGAGTGCGGGGGCTGCTAGTGCTCAGGGCAGCATGTCACCCCTCCCCCCAGGACCCAGGGCAGGCCCGGGAGGCAGCTTCTGTTGTCACCGCTAGGGGGCACTACTGGTTTGTGGCGGGTAGAGAGACTGGGGGCGCTGCTGGCCAGCCCACAGTGCGCACGGCACCCCACAGCATGTCCTCAGGCCCCACTGCCAGTCTTTCTTTGGGTGCAAGCCCCTGGTCGGGGTCAGAGCACACCAGGGGCCTCAAATGCCATGTCCGTTGGCTTGGGAGCCACGGGGAGCTTTGGAGTTGGGGAGGTGCGTGCAGCCCGAAGGTCAGGGGCACACTCCAGGGGCTGCAGAAACAAGGGCTCGGGGATGCGGCGGGACCTGCTCATTGGCCAGCCGTGGGGAGGGGGCGGTGTGCCTGAGGGCTGCCCGCTGCCCCTCTGTGCCCGCCCCGTGCAGCTGGACAGGCCCCCGCAGGGCAGCTCCTGGGCTTCCGTTGCTCACAGGGTGTAGCTGGGCCAGCGACTGCCCTCGTTAGTTCCCATGCACTTGGCCCTGGGTAGGGACCCAGCCTTGTGCCTTGTGCCAGGGACCCAGGAGGTCCCTGGCCTGTCACTTACCTCAGGCTTCGCTTTTCCACTTCTTCAGTGGCACTGCCTTTCCTTGGGTGACCTGTCCCTTCATCCCAGAGCCAGGTCCCTGCAGGGTGGCCCGCAGGCAGCTCTGATGTGGGTGCAGCGGGTGCCCCTGTGCCCCTGGGCAGCCAGGGCTGGGAGACGCATGGGCTTGGAGCAGGACCGGGTCAGGTCCTTTCTGCCACTCGCTTCCTAGGTGACACTGGCCAAGTGGCTCTGCCTCTGGGCCTGCAGGTCCCTCAGTGTGTGTGCGTGAGGGTAGGTGACTCAGCTCTCAGGCAGAGAGTGTGGTGCGTCAGCGTGGCAGCCTTAAAGCAGCTATTTCTGGGCGAGTGCCAAGTGCTCAGTGAGGAGTGTCCGTTGTTGACAACCAGAGGTTCCTGTTTGAAATGTGTAGTAGGTGTTGGCTGATTCCTGGGCCTGGGGTGCTCCTGAGGCACTCGGACCCAGGTGTGGGGTCCCATGAGGGCTGGCCCCCAGCGTAGCCATCAGCCCTGCCGTCCCATGCCTGTCCCCATAGGTCACTCCCTCTGCCTGGCCCCTGCCCCTCGGCCACAGTGACCCTCTTCTGAGGGACTGCTCAGGCCCTGGAGCAGTGGAAGAGCCAGGTGGGTCCTTCCCTCCCCCCTCCTTCCCGGCCCCCCCGCACAGGTAAGTGAGGGTCAAGAGGGGGGCACAACAGGGGTTGGGGCCATCAGCCCCACTCTCAGCTCCCCAAGCCCCAGAGGTGGGGAGGTGGGAGTCGGGGTGGGTGCCAGAGGTCAGCAGGTAACGTGCTGAGGAAACCCTTTGGGTGTCTGAAGGGGGGGCACCCACTCCCTGCTCGTGGGGGCCCCTGCCTGCTGCCCGCCTCATCACATTCTCCTCTTGTCTCCATAGCTTCCGCCCGGCGCTGCCTGTCTCCTACCTGCAGGCCGAGCTGGCCTTCGAGGGCGAGGCCGCCTGCCGGGCCTTCCTAGAGCCCCTGGGCCTGGCCTACACGGGCCCGGACAACGCCAGCATCGACTGCCGCCTCAGCCTGGCGCAGCTGTCCGCCTTCTGAGCTCCACGTGAAGGGGGCGGGGGGGCAGGGCCGCGGCCCCCACTGCCGCCTCTGCACGTTTTTTGAGCCATGGACTTGGGTTGTAAAATAATTGTGGGGAGTGGGCTCCAGGAAGAGCCGCCATCCCTGCCCCCGTTTTCTTGCCGGGGAGTCTGTACAGAGATTTTTTCTACATTTTTATTTTTGTCTCAGAGGGATGGGTTAGGACGGGAGGAGGGGAGGGGCAGCAGAGGGTTGGGGGCTTGGTCTGTCCACTCTGCACCTCTACTAATGCTGTCTCAGTGTTTTCTCTCTCTCTCTCTCGAGCTTGTACTGCGGTACCAACCCGGCACCCTGGCCCGTCCCATGCTGGGGGGCCAGTGGAAGAAGACAGGCCGCTCCGCCCGTGCCCGCCGCGGCGGGGGCACCAGCACGCCGCCCGCCGCCCACCACTCGCCGCCCGTGTGCCTACCTCACCACAGACTCTTGTTGCCCAGCCCTCTGGGGCCTCAGTGCTCGGGGCGAGGGGAGCCATAGAGACTGTGTCCTGCCTTTGGCTCCCACCCCAGAAACGCCAAGCCACACCACGCCACCAGCAGATCCGAGCCGCCACCTGCACTGAGGACTCCGGAGGCCACCGCGGGACCTCGCCGGCCGGGCCGCCTCGTCTGCACTTGTACTAAGTTGTCTCGTGTCCCTTCCTCCCTCCACCCCAATGTTTCTTCTCGTTTTTTTTCCCCTTTCCTCCCCCCTCCTCCTGCTCCCTACTCCCTTGGTTCAGCACAGGTAAACGGTTCCCCTCCCCATCTCCATGGATCACCAGCTCACGTCATGTTTCCTTCTTTTCTTTTTGTGTGTGTTTATTTAAGTTATTTTCCCTCTTCCTCCCCTTTTCTTTTCACCCTCCCTCCCTCTTCTGCCATGTAACTGGAGGACGCGCAGTGAGTTGCAAACAGCTGGACTGTCAGGCTGCTTTTCTCCCAGATGCTCCTCCTCTGCTCCCTCCCCTTCCTCTCCCCTCCCCTTCCTCTCCTTCATTCTTTCCTTGGAGCACTGAGCACGTTTGGAAGCTTGAGCAAAACCAAAATTAAAGAGAGAGAGAGAGAGAGAGAGCATGCTTTGTCTCTCCTGCTGGGACTGGATCTCCTCCCGGTGTTTGGGGCTCGTCAGCCCAAGAGGTCTGGGACTGTCACCGCAGGGGCACCTCAGCCAGGGGTTGGTAGGTGCCCCCTGCCCTCCCCATGCAGCACAGCCAGAGTTGGCTCAGGAGTTGGCTCCCCAGCTCCTGCCCTGGGCTGAACCCCGGTGTGGGGAGGTGGTCCTGGGAGCCCCGGGGTACCTTGGCCAGCGTGAGGTGGGGGTGTAGGCCCCCAGGGGGCTGTAGCACTCTGAGCCCCTCCGCCTCCAGCCTCTGGCTCAGCACTTGGGCCATGTTTTCTAGGGAGGGGGAGGGCAGAGCACAGAGCACATGGGAGCCCAGGAGCACTGGCTGCCTGAACCTCAGCTGCGGGGGTGCCTGAAGTCCCGGGGCTGAGAGCGCACGCCTGAGTGCCCTGACAGCGACTGCGGTGTCCCCCGGGCCCGCCAGCCTCAGCAGGGCCAGTGTCACGTGCAGGGCCTGGGGGGGAATCATGAAAGCAGCACAGGATGGTGTCCTTCGGACCAGTTCTTCCTGGGCCTCGGCCACCCCTGCCTGCAGCCCGGGGTCTGTCACCATGAGGGCCACAAAGTGCGTGGGGCGAGGCTGCCGAGGGGCCAGGGCCCTGGCCACTGTGGCCTCTCTGCTGTCTTTGGACCAGGTCCCAGGACCCCACTCCACTTGACACCTCTCCTTCATCTGGAGGAGGTCTTCTGTGGGGGGCTGCTCCTCTCCGGTTTTGTCTTTGGCATCTGGCTTCCCCGCCCTTTTGGGCTCCATCCGTGGCGAAGCCTGGCTTCTGGCTCCAACCAGCTTCTGGGCATCATCCATAGACGCCCCTGCCAGCACCAGGCTCCCCTCTATGTGGCCTGTCCCGGCCGGCTCTCTGCACCCTTCTGCTGGGGCAGCGTCAGCACGGGGGGCAGTTACACAGTCCTGTGCATTCCTGGTCCCAGGCGCATCGACCTCATGCTCTTCCCCGGTTCTCAGCTCGTCGTCGTCATCCTGCACACTTCCGTCCCCGAGCAGGTCCCTGCTGCAGTGTGCATTTCCGGCCTGGTGCGAGTCCTCATCACTGTGCACATCTCCGGCCTCATGTGCCTCTCCATCCCCAAGCACGTCGTCCCCGTCCCCGCTGTCCAGTGCGTCCAGGATGGTGGGCCCGCGGCCCTCCACCGAGCCAGAGCCAAAGACGTGATCAGTGCGCGAGGCGCGGTCCCACACGATGCGGCCGCGGAAGCGGAAGTACCGCACGCGGTGCTGCGGCACGGCCAGCGAGCCGGGACCCAGCGCCGCCAGCGGCTCGTCCCAGCAGAAGGAGCTGAAGGGCTCCTCCAGCACGCCCAGGAAGCGGTCGGCGTAGCCCACCGAGAAGTCAGCAGGGTCTAGGCGCGGGTCCCAGCGGATGCGCTGGATGACGGCCGCGGCAGTGCGCAGCGGAGGCTTTTTGGTCCCGGCCCCCGCCTCCGCCCCGCAGCCAGGCCTCGCGGGGGCCGTGGCCCCGGGGTGGGGCTGGCGACAGCGGCCGCCAAAGCGGCAGCGGCCTTCCAGGAAGAAGCGGCAGGCCTGTGGCGGAGGGGGCTCCATGGTGGGGGCCTCAGGGGGCGACTCAGGCTGTCCTACCTCTTCCATAGACACCGGGGCGGTGACCGGATTGTGGCGTTGCCCTCGGTCGCTCTGACCACACCCTGGCCCGGGAGGCACGCCCACCCGCGCTCATGGACTCTGACTTCCGCCCAAGCGCCTCGCCCTCCACCAGTGTCCTAGGGGATCCTGTCCCCGCCCCTCCATGGAGTAGCAGTTTACAAGTGTGGTCCCACCCTCTGTCTAAATGATTTACCGCCCTCCCAGCAAGCCTGGCTTCAGTCCCAGCTAATCATTTAACAGTGCGGCCACGCGCCTTCTGGGTCCTTATTAAGTCTGACTCCGCCCTGTCTAAAGATTTGCATGTGAAACACCGCCTCTTTCCCCGGCAGACCTCAAAGGGCTGGTCCCGCCCCCGCCTCGTGATTTGCATGTGCTGCCACGCCCCTCTGGGCTGCGCCCTCTTGCAGGCGCAGGGCACAACCAGAGGTCTGCAGGCTCAATCTGAACTTGGTAGCTCAGACCTGAAGCTGATGCCGCCCTAGCGTTTGGGCCAGCGCAGCTTTGGGGGGCGGGGGGGGACCTCTTGCAGGGGACCACGCCTCTTCCCGGCCACTTTCCTGTGGGGCTCAGCTGGATAAGGGAGTGAGTCAGGCCGCCACCCGGCCCACAGCTGCACTCAGTCAACAGGATGAATGAATGAGGCTGTGGAATCAGCCACGTCAGGACCCCGCCCCTGGGAGGGGCTCCGCCTGGCCACGCCCCGGGCTTTTCTGAAGGGTCCGCGTCGCACCACCCTACGCCCACCATCAGACCCGGCTGGTCCAATCTCCTGGGGGAACCACAACTCCATCATTCCCCTTTCCCACGTCCACAGTGAACAGACAGAACCGGGGCACAGACCTTGGCCGTTTATGTATAAAGAAGTGGGGTGCAGGACACCAAGGGCGCGGGGAACCCACAGCCTACAGGCCGATGACATCGTCCAGCTCGAGATCCGCGTCGGGGCGGCAGCGAGCCCTGGGGCGCTGAGGCCCAGACCCGGGGTCCCCGTCGGGCTTGGCGGCCGCGGCCCCTGGGCGTTCCGCGTCCATGACGCCCAGCACTGCGTCCAGCATCGAGGGGCCCAGATCCAGGTGGAAGGACAACAGCGGGTCGGCGGGAGCCGGCGCGCGGAGAGCGGGCTGCGGCGGCTGCGGCACGGCGGGCGGGGGTGTGGAACGCGGGGCCCCGGCAGGCGGCGCCCGGGGCTCGGGGGGCGGCCCCCCACCGTGGCGGCTCAGAAACGACGTGTCCCCGAAGGCATCGCCACCGCGCCCCACGTGCAGCGTGTGCCGGAAATCGCCGAGAGGCGCGGAGATGGAGAGGGTGCCGCGCTCCGGTCGCTTCTTGGGCTGCGCGGGGCCCAGCTGCTTCAGCACCGGCATCTGCAGGGTAGGGCTGGGTCAGCACGGCCTCCACTCAGAGTGGACCCCTATGCGAGCAGCACCCCAAGCCCTGGGCCTCGCCAGCCGTCCCAGGATGTCGTCCTCTCCACCCCAATAGGGACAGGATGATGGCAGGAAGACTACTCCCACTTATATGGGGGGAAACTGAGGCCCCCAGGGGCCTGGAGGCCTCCGCTACTCGATTCACATCTCAGATTCCATTTTAGGCCTGCCCATAACCACCACGCTGTGCTGATTCCACTAAAAAACATTTAAGTTTCCTAGAGGCCAGGCAACAAGCAGCAGCCCCCCCCCCACACACACACAACAATGCTCTCCAAACTGGACAGAAGCCCCAGCTCTTCACACGTGCAAGTCCCTGAACGCAGGGGCTGACTTCACCCGATAGCACAGCAGGCAAGGTGCCTGGGGCCCACACTCTTCCTGAGCCCTGGGGCGGGGGGGGGGGGTGGTTGCTGAAATGTTGGATCTATTTCTAAATGTCTGGATTATATTTGTCTTTATCCCAACCCGGCCCTAAAACACAATGTCGTCAAAAGGAAGGGGCCTGCTTGAAGATTCTGACTGGGGGCGACTCAACTGAGGGAGGGTCTGGGAGTCTGCATGCAGTGGCCAATTAGAATTGTTCAACGTTCAAAGAGACAATGTAATATCTTACTTTTTGTAAGAGTACTAACGAGGCAAATGTGTCTATGTTTAAAAATTGGTCAAATGGCGTCAATGCCAAGCTGGCAGCTTGTGACCTGGAAGCTAGGGGACAGGGTTCATGTCACAGGGAAATGCCTGTGAACCTTTGCCCACATCCTGGAACTGGGCTGTTTTTGCGAAACTTCTGGGAGGGCCTTTGACGACCTTGTGCCTTTCTGTTATCAGGCACTGTTATAAGGAAGGATTTTCTTGCTATTTGAAATGAGGCCCCACCCTTTGCCAGCTGTAGGAACCAGGACATAAGACATGACCTCTCTTTGTCTCCTATCTGTAAAAGGGATAAAAAGTCACTAGCTTCCTTGCTCAGAGAAAACTACCTGGAAAACTCTGTAAGGATACTGGCCCATTGGTAGTGCTAGCGTTATGGGGCGGGCAGGGGGGACCCAGCATGTGTTCTCAAACGATCTCAGTGAAAGGAGATTTCGATCTGATCAAATCCTCAGAGGCAGGCAAAGCAGCCAACATTGTTCTCTTAGTAACAAGCACCCTGGGAAATATTAGCGATAAGGTAAGAAAAGTAGAGCCAAAAAAACCTCAAAATCATCGTAGGTGGACCTGTTATGAGGACAGCCCTCTACCCTATGCAAACACACACATACACACACACCATTTATTTCTCTGAGAAACCCAGTCTTGATTCACCAGTTCTGCGGTGTTTTTCAGCCTTCTCCGACCTCAGCCTAGATGAATAAATATATTTTTATTGCAGCCTGCGCAAACAATCACCAGATCTCTCCCCCCTTGCCCTCCACATACAGCAAAAAAAAAAAAAGTACAAAACAAGACTTACTGTTTTAACATGCTACATGCTTGGAATATTTTTGATTCTAATCTATTGTATTTGTTTTTTTTTAATGCTGACCTCCACTCACGAATAAATCTCAATTCACAGTTTAAAATAAATCCTCTCTCAGGGCCCGTTATTACTCTGCTGAGAGTTAACAAGTGAAAGACAGCCCAGCTCAGAAAGCCAACCGCTCAGGCTTGCATCTGCTTGTGCCCACGGCGGTGTGGCTTTGGGCCAGTGACTCAACCTTTCTGATCTCGCCACCTCATCTTGAAAATGGGATGATACACACATGATACTTCTTAGCCGCTTGGCCATGATAGGTGAGATGTTCCCAGTGACAGCCTGAGCATGGTATCTGGTGCACACAGCAAGCGCTCAATACATGCTTGGTCCCACCATATCCCAGACAAGGAAAGGGACCCCAGAGAGAGTATGTGATGTGCCCAAGGTTACAAAGCCAGCTCTGTGGGACTCCATAGTTACCACTGTCTCTGGCTCTTTTGCACGGATGCCACACCCTGGGCAGCTCTTGGCCGCAGCTTCTCCCTGCTCAGCCCTGGCTCACCCCTCCGCCCACCCTCCTATTGCCCTATCCGGTGGTGACGTCACCACCACTTTCCAGCACCTGGCAGCCCCTGGCGCTCTGACATTAATCAAACACACCTGGCCTGCTATCGCCATTCCGTAGGACCCTGAACGAACTCCCTCATCTCTAAACTTCCGTTTACTTGCCAGAAACAGGGATCACTACGCCTGCATACAGCCCTGGCCCAGGTCGCTCCGTCAGTTGGAGCATCATGTCATAGACCAAAAGATTGCAGTTCCATCCCCGGTCCGGGCGCATACCTGGGTTACAGGTTCCAGCTTCAGCTGGGCGAATAGGGGGGCGCGGGGAGGGGCAACCCATCCATGTTTCTCTCTCAGATCCGTGTTTCTCTCCCTCCCCCACCCCTCCTTTCTCTCTCTCTCTAATCAATGAATTAAAAAAAAAAAAAACGTCTGCGGGCAAGGGGTGGTCGCAAAGCACTCTCAGGATGCTGATGTTTTATTTCCCAAGCACTTATTGTGGGCCACACAGCCCGGCGAATGCATGTCTGAGATTCTCCGACCATCCCAAACAAGGGGGAGACCCAAGTCTCCAGGTCTGTGTGCCAGCTGCGGTGGCCGAGGCACAGGGCGTGGGGGGGTTGGGGAGGGGGGTGGGGGGGACTTGCCCTGGCCCGCAGATGCGCTCCAGAGTGTGAGGGTGACATCAGATCCCCACGGCCCTCGGAGGACACGATAGGACGAGCGGTGTGCGTGCCCACGGAAAAAATGATGTTTCGATTTGCTGTAAGGCCTGGGATTTCCTACACCCATCTACCATGTTTGTTTTGTTCTCTTTTTCCGCCTTTTTTTTTCATTCCAGATGAGGACAATGATAGACATGGCTTTTGTTTTGTTTTGTTTGCAGTGTTTTGGAGAGTCCCCTCTTCTACCAGATCTGAGGCGTTGGGGTGCGCCACGCCACTTTGCCCAGCCTCTGGTCCTCTCCGACCGAGGTTTTAACCTCCCTCCAGCAAAGCTGTGCGCTCCGCGCCGTGAGGTCACGATCAGAACAAGAGCGTCACTCGGCCCAGGCTCCCCACAGAAGGGCCGTTGTTTGTGACAAACGTGAAGCGGGCAGAGTGGCAGGAGCCAGGCTGGGGACCCGCGTCTCCTGCCCCCGGGTGCCCTGGGCTGCGGCCCGCTTCCCGCCCCCGGGTCCGCCCCGTCCCCTTCCTGCGCGCTCCAGCTGCAAAGGCGAGCGGGGGGCGGGGGAGTCACAGCTCTCCTCTGTCCCCTCCTGGCCCCAGCCCCGCCAGGACGGAAATAACAACCCGCTCCAGATCCGGCCCGACTGGTTCCCAGCTCGGTGGGAGAGGCGGCGAGGCGGGGCAGCGGGACCCCTGGCGGGAAAGACCCCGACCGGCCCCTGCGGACAGCCGGGCGCGCTTCCTGCGGCCACGTGGCTGCGGCCCTGGCTTCAGCCGCCGGCGTCCCTCCGGCCGTCGGTCCCGCTGCCCTCCGGACCTGACCGAGGGCCCCCGACCACCTCACTTACCTCGGGGTCCTCGTGGAGCCGGCCCGGCGCGCTCAGGCTCGGCTCAGGCTGGGACGCCGCGCCCTGGGTTCGGAGCCCGCCTGGGCCTGCGGTTCCCAGGCCCGTGCCGTCCTTCCTCCTTCCTCCTGGCCGGACCTCACCTGCCAAAAGGAAGTGTCATGCGGACCCTGGAAGGGGACCTGGACCCAGGCGTCGGCGCCCAGGCCCCTTGTCTCTCGGGTCCCAAGATTCCTGCCCCCAGCTCTTCCTCCCTCAGCCCAGGAGTCAGGGGTCCCAGCCGCTCCCAGGCTCAGACCCCGGCTCCGTCCGGGCCCCGCCCTCTGGCGTCCGCCCCTTCTGTACCTGCGCCCGAACCGAAGTGTCAGCCCCTCTCGGGGGCCATGGTAGGAGCCCAAACGGGCGCGGAGTCGCCGCTCGGTCGGTCCAGCGCAGTCCGTCTGGGGCAGACAGGGTTAAGGCACAGGCCCCGCCCAGCCTTCCTTACTCCCCACCAAGCTTCCAAAAAGTTTGCCTCTAGGATTTTTCAAGGACTAGAAAGCAGCGGTGGAAAAGCTGAGGCCCCTCCGGGCTGAGCGTAGGGGCGGGAGGAGGCGGGGACTGGGTGTGCTCGGGAGGACACGCAGAAGGGGGTGGGGGACGCGCGGGGCGCGCCCCCAGCCCGGCCCCTCCCCCTGCCCAGCTTGGAATTTCCTGAATTGGCTGTTTGGGAGAGTAATTTCTTCCAGATTGCAGCTGTTGGGGCGGTGTGTGTGGAGACTGAGGGAGAGAGAAAGAGAGAGGGAGGAACAGGCAAGGAGGGCGGACGTGGTCTTCCACGGGCAGCGCTGACTCTGCCTTGGACACGTTCCTGGCTGAACGTCCCGGCGCGAAACCCGTCACCCACACGCAGGTCATTGCATCAGCCTGAGAGCCTGGGCCTAGAGGTGACAAGAAGGAGGTCAGGCTTGGGTGTTAACGAAGATCCCTCGGGGGCCACTGTGAGAGAGGGCCTGACCTGGAGAGACTGCAGAGTCCTCTGGAAAGAGGCTGGCTGCAGGGCGCCGAGGCGGAGCCCCGGGGCGGCGGGGCGGGGGGGAGGGGGGCCCGGGAGGAGGCTGACTCAGTTGTGAGCTGGGGGCGGAGTGGTGGGGCTGCAGAAAAAGAGAGGTAAAGAGAGATAGCAAGGAGGCGTGGCTGGAACACACGCACAGGAAGAGTGGACGTTTATAAAAGCAGAGGAGAGAAGGAAGAAGAGAACAGGTCGGAGGCCAGGTGGAGCAAAGGGCCCCGAAGGTGTGGCTGGAATTCCCGGTGCCTGGTTTGTCCAGGAAGCCCAGCTCCAACGCCGTAATGACTGGGTCGGACCCAGGGGATGGACAGTCCCCCTGCAGGGGGCCTGAGCGAGGTTGGGACTTGCAACCAGAGTAAAATCTAAGGTGTGTGTGTGTGGGGGGGGTCACCCAAAACCAAGTAACCAAGATCAATAAACAGATTTAAACCACAGATGTGTGTTCACTCATTTTGACTGATGTTAAATTCACATAAAATAAAGTTAACCATTTAAACGCGTTATTCGTTTGGTGCATTCTCCACGTTGTGCAACCATCATTTTTTTATCCAGTTTCAAAACATTTTCATCACCCCAAGAGGAAACCCCCAAACCCATTAGCGGTCACTCCCCACCCTTCCCCCGCTCAACGCCCCCCCCTTCCCGCCCAGGGCAGCTGTGAACCTGTTTTCTGTCTCTGTGGATTTGCTTGTTTTGGACACATCAGATGCATGAGCTCATCTGATGTGTGTTGTCTTCCGTGTCTGGCTTCTCTTCAAGGTTCATCCACATCATAGCAGGTATCAGCGCTTCATTTTTTTAAAAGCTGAAAAATATTCCATTGTACGGATAGATGTTTCAGGATAAATAATATTTTGATGCAATATTGTATTTTTTTAAGATTTTATTTATTGTTAGAAAGGGAGAAAGAGAGGGAGGGAAACGTCAATGTACGGTTGCCTCCCACGCGCCCCCTACTGGAAACTTGGCCCCCAACCCAGGCATGTGCCCTGACTGGGATTTGAACCGGTGACCATTTGGTATGCAGGCCAGCACTCAATCCACTGAACCACACCAACCACGTTAATGCAATATTTTAAAAAGGACTGCAAAAACGATCCATAATGAACAAAATATCAAAACTTCAAATGAAGCCCTGGCTGGCGTAGCTCAGTGGATTGAGCGAGGGCCTGCGAACCAGAGGATCACCGGTTCGATTCCCAGTCAGGGCACATGTCTGGGTTGCAGGCCAGTTCCCAGCAGGGGACGCGTGAGAAGCAACCATACATTGATATTTCTCTCCCTCTCTCCTTCCCTTTCCCTGTAAAAGATAAATAAATAACATCTTTTTTTAAAAAAACCTTCAAATGAAGACAGGATCAGCGTTGTGATGGGAGCCTGAATAAAAAGGGAAAGTCACTCACACCTTGACTTTAAAAAAAATAAAAGCAATGTATTGGGTTGACACAGGCTAACATAATTATACAGGTTTCAGGTGCACAGTTCCACAGCACATCACCTGTACCCTGTATTCTGTGTTCACCACACACCAAGTCAAGGCTCCTTCCATCACCATTTATCCCCCCCCCCCAGGAAATCACCGCACTAATGTTTGTGCCCAGGAGCTTTTTTCTTTCTCTTTTTTTTTTTTCCGTTTTCTTTTTTGCTCAATCCCTCCACCACCACTCCACCCAGCCCCCCACATGGTTACTTTGTTGATATTTCATTTGATCCTGTTAAAATGTTGATACTTTGTTCCTTATGGGTGTGCTATTCACTCTTCTTTGTTGCATTTATTCATTTGCTCCATTACCGTGTTGCGCATCATGATGATGGAATATCTTTGGTGCTCCCTTGATATTATTTTAAAGATTTTTTTATTTATTAATTTTTGGAGAGAGGGAAAGGGAGGGAGAAAGAGAGGGAGAGAAACATCTATGCGCGGTTGCCTCTCACGCGCCCCCTACTGGGGACCTGGCCTGCAACCCAGGCATGTGCCCTGATTGGGAATCAAACTGGTGATCCTCTGGTTCGCAAGCCTGCACTCAATCTACTGAGCCACACCAGCCACGGACCTTTGACTTTTTTTTTTTTGGCTTCACCCTAAAACCCCAGAAAGGGGCCTGATTTAGGGCAGGGGTCCAGAAGTGGAGAAGAAGGTACAGACAAAAGGGATATTCAGGAGGCAGGCTCACGTGGACTTAGTAACCAAAAAGGTATGGGGGATGCAAGAGAGAGACAAAGAAAGGGAGAGAGGAGCCATGGGCTATGCTATTTATTTCCCTTTGCTTCCATAACGGATGACCACAACCCAGCGATGCCTATTATCTCATTTTCTGTAGGGCAGAGTTGGGGTGGCTCCTTCAGGTCTCTCTAAGCTGAAATCAGGATGTTGGCACCCTTACTTGGGACCGTCCTTTTCCCAGCTCATTCAGGTGCTGGCTGAAGTTCTTGGCTCTTGCTGTTCATCAGTTGGGGCCAGTCTGCTCCTAAGGCTCCTCCAGCCAGAGAAGGTGCTCTGCTTTTAGGGCTCATGTGATCAGGTGGGACCCACCTGGGTCACAGGTGTATCTATCAGTCAGGGTTCTCCAGGGAAACAGAGTAGGGAGGAGACATACATATATACACATATATCTCCATATATATTAAGATATCTGTCTAGTGGAGTGAGCGCGGGCCTGTGAACCAGAGGATCGCAGTTCGATTCCCAGTCAGGGCACATGCCTGGGTTGCAGGCCAGTTCCCAGCAGGGGGCGCACAAGAGGCAACCATACATTCGTATTTTTCTCCCTCTCTTCTTCCCTTCCCCTCTAAAGATAAATTTTAAAAATCTTTTTAAAAAGATATTTATCTAGTTAAAAATATATTTATTTTTAACTAGATATATTTAGTTATATATCTAGTTACAAATATATCTAAATAAATAAAAATATATTTAAAAAATAATCTATAAAAGGTTAATTTTTACTGATTACCAAGTAATAATAATACTATCCATCTATATTTGCTGATGGATATGTATTAATGTATTACTCGACAACCAGCTATCTATAACTATGTAATATACACACACACATACGTATATGATTTATATCAAGGAATTGGGTTTTGAGGTGCTAGGTGCTGACGAGCCCCAGCTCCGTGGGGCTCACTACAAAGTCTTGGACAGGCAGAAGCAGATGCTGAATCTCTAGGCAGAATTTCCTTCTCCTCGGGGAAACCTCCGTTTTGTTCTACTTTCGGCTGATCCGACGATGCCCATCCTTTCTCAAAGGTGACCTTCTTTACTGGGGGCCCATTGCTTGTAGGCGTAACCACATCGACAGAATGCTTCCGCAGCAACACCTGGGTTAGAGTTTGGCTGAACGACCAAAGGACTGTAGGCTGGCCAAGTAAACACATGGAATTAACCATCACGCCAGCATAACTTCCTTATCATAGGGTTCGTAACTTGAACCACACTAGCAAAGTCCCTTTGCCAGGTGATGCGACATATTCATAGGTCCCAGAAATTCATGCCTGGACATCCCAAGGGGGGCATTCTGTCCATCCCATGGACTTCAGAGGGCAGGGCCTGGGGTTGTGGGGCCACCACGAACGTGGAGAGCGGAAAGAGCCGGTGTTTCGGAAATGCTGAAGTCACGGCCTGGGAGAGACCTGTGCAATTATTTTGGGTCCTCTGCTCAGGGGGTCCTGCCCTTGGATTAATGATCTGCTGTAACCACCCTGAAAACACTAATCATTCTGAACAAGGGACCCCACATTTTTTTTGCACCCCCCACCCTCCGTCCCTTCAGTAACCACCCTACCATTGTCTGTGTCCATGAGTTGTTGTTTGTTTGTTTGTCCTGTTTGCTCACTTGTTGCTTTATATCCCACCGGTGACTGAAATAGTATGGTTCTGCCTTTTTCTGTCTTATTGCACTCAGCATGATATTCTTATGGCTCATCCATTGTCATCACAAATGGCAGTGTTTTATTTTTCCTTAGGGCTGAGTAGTATATATATATATATATATATATATATATTCTTTTTATCCCACCTTCTATCAAAGTCATCCCACTCCAGTCATTTCCATGTCTTCGCCACCATGAATAACGCTGCAATGAACACAGGGGTGCATATATCTTTGCGAATAAATATTTTCAAAAATTTCAAGTAGATACCCAGAAAGGGATTGCTGGGTCACATGGTAACTCTATTCTTAATTTTATTTTTAGGAACCTCCATACTGCTTTCCATAGTGGCTGTACCAGTTTATATTCCCACCAGCAGTGAATTGTTGTGGTTTTTTTTTTCTCCACAACCGTTCTTACCTGTCTTGTTGATAATAGCTGTTCTAACAGGTATGAGGTGGTATCACACTTCAGTCTGGATTTGCATTTCCCGAACAGCTAGTAAAGTTGAGCATCTTTTTTTTTTCTTTAAATCTATTTGTTGGTCCTTTTTAAGGTCCTTTTGGGAGAGGTGTCTGCTCATGTCTTCTTCCCATTTTATTTATTCAATTACTTTAATTTTTAGGTGACTTCGCTAACACAGGTGTTAAGCTGCGCAGGTGAGATTTGAACTCAGGCAGACTGGCCCTGAGAGAGGACAGGTGGAGGACACTACAGAGGGCATTTCCTGTCCACTGGGAGCAGGGGAATAAAAGGAATCTGTCCAACAGAACTTCCTGGAAGGATGGAAATAGTCTGTTATCTGCACTGACCAGTATGGTAACCATATGTGTCTGCCAAGCACTTGAAATGAGGCTGAGAAACTGAAATTTAAATTTTTATGAAATTTTAGAGGTTTAAAATGGAAGTAACTGCTA